AATATACATGCATTATAATATGAATGCCCTAACTTTTCTCTTTCAAAATGATAAATTTATAACAATTTAATTTTTTTGCAAGTAGGTCAAACTTCTAGGTCATATGTAAAAAAAAAAAAAAAACCATGCCATTCTCACAGGTAAATACTAGTACATAAGTTTAATATGAATGCCTTGTCTCTTCTCATTCAGTAGATATGACCGTGATAACCAAGGTTAATTTTATTCAGACAGAAGAACAGTCTGACATACAAATGTACATATTTCTATATGAATTGCATGGGTAAAATTGGACCAGTGGTTCTAGAAAAAGTAAAAATGTAAAAAGTTTTCAGACAAACAGATGGACAACATGTCACAACAGACGTTATATGACAAGGAAACCAGAAAAGCTCAAATGAGTGTTTTGAAAGGGTTACTTGAAAAGCTGGGTTTTTTTTCATGCAGAGATATGCATGACCAACATATTCATGTTTTATATTTTCTTTAGTAATTTGTTTGTTTGTTGTGAATACATATCTCATTGGAATTTTTCCGTCATATGGAGACACCACCAAATAATAATGAAGACAAGATGTGTTTGTGAAACACTGATGTCCCTGTCTGGTAGCCTATGGCGAAGGTTGAAGTTTCTCAAATATATGTCAAACTCAAAGGTCAAGGTCAAAAGGTTCAATTGTTGGTATCAGAAAAAAGTCTTGTCACAAGGAATGCACATGTGAAATAAGTAATCCCTAGTACTTCCTCTTCAAAAGTTAATTGCCAAGGTTAATTTTTTAAGTGGTTCAAACTCTACGGTCAAGGTCAAACATATTTATACCTGTTGACAGTTCACAATGAATACACATGTTAAGCATGAAAGCCCTAGCACCTACTGATCAAAATTTAGGCCAAGTTTAAAGTTGGGTATTTTTCTTGTAAAAATGTGTATTCTAGGTCAAGTGATCAGAGGTAAAAATTAATGGTACCCAAATAAAAGGTCTTAATTGTCACAAGAAATAAACCTATAAAATGTGGAAGCCAATTGTATAGCCCATCCCACTTAAAACTTATGGGCAAGGTTATAATTTCTGCAGACAAATATACAGACATAATATAAACACAAGAAACAAAATATGTACATAATTAGTCAAATGGAAAAAAATATACTATTTATATGGAATCACAAAATAGATTGTTATTTCAGGGATAGGGAGTGGGTAGGGAGATTGGAACCCCCCCCCCTGGAATTTCCTTTGTTATTTAAACAAGACTATATACTGAAGCAAATAAAAAATGATTTTGGACATCCTCCCCCTAACTAAGAAAACATTGGGGTTTTTTTTGTTTATTTGTTTTCAGTGTATGATTTTTTTCTCCTGCATGTCAGGAAATTCTAGGCATGAATATTTTGACTGAGATGTGAACCCCCCTCCCTACTCCCGAAAAAAATTCTGGATCCGCACCAGTATTGGCAGTAACTGAATGTCACATCGACAAGGGGAGATAACTTGACAATATGAAATTCGTCTAGTGTGGCATGCGATGATCTTTGACCCTTTTTGAACTTTAACCTAATCGTTTGGGTTTATTTTACCCCCACTATACTTAAACTTGTACTTACCGACCTCCATAGGTCCTGTAAACTTCATGAAATATAAATCCAATTATAACACAAAATGAATTAATCCAAAGCACACCATTCTGCAGCATGTTATAATGATATTCCATTCGGAAAACCTCCGTGCCGTCGATTCCGTCACCTTATCAGATGAAGTGGGAATCGGCCGAGGTGTACCGAATGGAGTTTAATCTAAAAATATGATAATGGGTGATGCAACGTGATGTGATGTAGAATTTACATGTCAAGAACAAATTTTAAATTAATTCATAACAAACACTGTTTTAACAAAACTGTTCCATCTAGCCTATTCCCAAAAGTATGTACTGTGTGATTGTGGTGTCGAGAGGGGGGGATTAGTAAATTTAAAAAGGTCCTAATATGAGCAAAACATTTATCATTTGAAATCTAATTTACATTATTAATAGAATTCAAACTGGTATATAATGAATTAAGCATGTAAAATAAATATAAGAGGTTCTGAGTTATAGGTCACAGGGATAATTTCATACCCAATTTTATGAATACATATGTAAATTACAGGCACGTAGCAACCGGGGGGGGGGGGGGGGGGGGGGGGGCTTGGGGGGGGGGGGGGGGGGGGGGGGCTGCCCCCCTTTTTCCCAACATTACCTGTACCATAAGAAAATGTCCATTAAAAAGATGGTTGCCCCCTCCCCCCACTTTTAACCACAGTATATACATTGCAAGGAAATATGGGAAAAATTGGAAGTGAAAGTAATTTTGCCTTGAAAAAAAAGTGGCCACCACCTCCCCACCCCCACCCCCCCATTTCATTTTTTTTCCTTGTTAATTTTTTTAGGTTAGTAAAAAAATTTTTCTCAGGTTGCCCCCCCCCCCCCCCCCACTTTCAAAAACAATGCTATGTGCCTGAATTAT